GTGGTGGCCATTTCTGACCACCGCTGCAACCGCCTTCGGGAAAGGGAGTAATGGCCAGCTGGGGAGGAGAGATGCGGCTCTCCTCAACCCTGCAGGTAGTCTCCCCCCTCTTCACCACCTCTACGGGGTGGCTTAGCCCCGAAACCAGCCGGCTCGGGGCGCTCCAGCGGCGAGCACGGATCGAAACCTCGCAGAGATGAGGTTTTGGTCTGTCGCTGAAGAAGCTCAAACCGGAAGACTCCCCCAGTGGATAACTGTTGATAGGGCTGCCACCTGGTGGCGGAGAGTGTTGGGAGAAAATCCCTTATCCAACCCATCCTGAAGGAATAGTAACATCTGCTAAGGATGCTGAGGTGGGAACCCGCCAGCCTTCTGGCACCAATTGCAGAAAACTTTCCATGTGGCATCATAAATGCATATCGTGGAAGGTTTGCGTGAGGCCTGAATGGTGAGGATGGCTCAATCAGGAATGTTCAAATCTCTCAGGTGTTGCCACTCAAGCACCACATGGTAAAGTGGAACCATTGTGGGTCCGGATGCAACAAAGGTCCCTGGTGCAGAGAGACCCTGTGGTCCAGGATTCTCCAAGGGTGAGCAACTGATAGGTTCACAGATCCGCAAACCAGGGTCTCCTGGACTAATGAGGCACCAAGAGAATCAATTCCACCTTCTCCAACATCTTCCGAATGACTGCCGGAATGATCGGAAGAGGGGGGAAGGTGTAGAGGAGACCCGGGGGCCATTTGCTCCGAAGCACATTGGTCCCCTCTGCTCCCTGAGAAGGAAATCTGGTGAAGTATCTGCTTATCTGAGCATTCAGGGGAGATGCAAAAAGGTCCACAGAGGGAGTGCCGAACCTGAAGGATAGTTCCCTGAACAGAGAGGGGTGGAGACTCCACTCCAAATGGTCTACCGCACTCTGACTCAGCCAGTCAGCTTGAGAGTTGTTGACCCCAGAAATGTGGTCTGCCCTGATGGACAAAAGGTGCCTCTCTGCCCAATGCCCTAGGCGTTTGGCTTCCCTCATCAAGGCCCTGGACTTTGTTCTCCCCTGCCGGTCGATGTGTGCTTTTGTGACCACATTGTCATCACCAACTTGTGACCTCCTGTCACCCTGGAAATGTTTGAGGGCCAGGAAGATAGCCCTGAGCTCCAACCAGTTTATCAGACAGGACCCTTCTGTCTGTGACCAACAGCCCTGGGCCATCCTGTATATTGGTGTTGCTGTCTGCCAGTCGCCTCAGGATGCTGTTCCTGTCATTGAGGGAATGCCCTCTGAGATGGGAGAAGCGAGGGGAAGGTTCGGCCTGAAAAGATAAAGGACAGAAGTAAGGAGCTGGTCGGAAGTCCACCCCTATCGAAGAGAGGACCTTCCTCTTATCCCTGGTCTCGACCAGGTATGGATCTAGGGCCTCACCAAAGAACTTCTCACCTGTACAAGGAGCCGATGCCAGCTTCCACTTATGTTGTGAGTCGGATTGCCAGTTCCAGAGTCAAAGTAGACGTCTCGCTGTGACTGAGGAGGCCATGGCTCTAGAGGCAAACTTGGTTGAATTCAGAGTGGCATCTGCTGTAAATTCAGCTGCTGTAATGATTTTGTTCAGGTCTTGATGAGATCTAAAATCAGACAGAGGAAGGTGCTCCTGTAACTGATGCAGCCAGCGGAGTGAGGCTCTAGTAAAAAAAGACGCTGCTGTCAAGGCCCGAACAGCCGAAGCCGAGGCCTGGTGGTTACATTTGAGCGTTTACTCTGATCTCTTGTTCTTGGCCTTGAGCACATGGAGAGGCTCCCTGAAGAATACCTAGAGAGCCTCTGTCGCTCTATAGGCCACAAGAGCCCCGAGAAAGGGAGAGACCCAGGAGCGAACGGCAGCCTCGAGGGAACAGCTGGGAGGCGCTGAAAGGCTATTGCTGTGGCTTGTGGCAGCCAGAAATGCCTGGGACGATTGTGTGGGAGGTTTCTGAGCTCTTCCCTTGTCTGCAGCCTCCCAAAGGCAGCACCAGATCCCTGATGCTGCCGGAGAGCGGATCCCCGCTCTACAGCTGGCACAGCTCAATCGGAGCCCCGAGAGCTGTGCCGAAGGTTTTAAAGTGAAAAACAAATCCTAGCAACAATCGCCAACTATGCTTCCTAGACATGAAGCTCGATTGACTAAGGAGCTGAGTCAAAGCTGGGGATCTGGCTAGCGGCTGACTTTTTAGAGCAGACTCAGCTCTATGATGTAATAAGGAGGAATCTAATTCATCCTGGACTCTTGGCGCAGCGTCGATGAGAATGAAATGTTCCTGCTTTATCCTTCTCTCCCTGTTTGTTTTGTTTTGTTCTATAGGACTAACATCAGTGTTCGGGGGTCATGGCTCACTCCATTCATCTTTTTAAAAGATTATCTTTCCCAAGGAGAAGCAGCCTTCCTTTACAGAAGCTGTGTGATGCCAACTTCCCCCACCCAATCCCTGTGCATCCTCCACATAGGAAAGCTGTGAAGTATATTAGCCAATTCTCTTTCAAAAGGCAGAACTTCACCCTTTGGAAATAAGTGGCTGATCTGCCATGTGGCCTTTGTATATAGAGGCCATGTTTTTCCAGAAGCAGGCAGCATTTGGGAATTTCTAAAATTCTTCTGGGAGGGCACGAATGGCCTTTGTATTAAAGAAAGGTAACATGATGGTAACATGAGCTTATTGGAAAAAAGTGGAGTTTGGCATGATGGAGAGGAGAAGGGTTAAAAATGTATCCAGCAGAGCGGGGATCTATGCAAAGGGTGCCCCAGGATGGTGGAGGCCCGGGCAGGCAACATCTTATTTGGAGATACCATCCGCTTACTTTGCTTAGTGACCACAATTTACTTCTACTTCAGCTTCCCCATCTGACTATCTCTCCCCAATCTCTGCCTTTTTTACTGTAGTTCTCTTTGCTGCCTATCCCTGCGCTGCACTTAATTGATCTTTGCCATCTTCCTCTGTTGCTGGCCCAGGTGCTGAGCAAGGATGCAGCCCAGATTGTAGGCAACAAATATGGGAGGATGGCAGAGTTTTGTCTTTCAAAGGGAACTTGTCAGACCCAGCTAGAAAGATGGTAGAATGAACAATGAAGTGTAAAGCAGCATACTTCATACCAAGACAGGGTAGAGGTGATAGCTCACGTGGTAAAGGTTAGAGGTTGTGTGAGAGATGCTGTTTGGGGTAGCCGTAAACTGGAGAAAGCAGAGGGGATGAAGGCTTCCTGGAGACACAGTGCATGCTCTGCAGCTTGCATTGGCAGCACTCCTGGAGATCCTCAGGCTTCAGCAAGGAGTGGAAATAAGCCAAGTGATGGCAGAGCATCCCCACAGGTCTTCCCTTTGCTCTAAGCCTAGCCTTCCTCCAGAAAAGTCTTGTAAATGGCCAGTATTTTCTAATATGCTAAAGCCTACAGATACGGCAAAGCCCACAGAACTCTGCAGTTCACTCAAAAGTGCTTTTGGAGAACCAGCCTACAACGTTTCAGTGAGGGGTAATGATGAGTCAGCACTGACAGAACCTCTCCAGCCTTTTGCTCATTCTTGGCCCAAACTTTTTAATGCAAAGCCCAGCTTCTAATGTGAACTACAGTCTGCGCTGCACTTCCTCCAGTTCTACTACCCTAAATAGCGCCTCTGGGTGAATATTCCACATTCACCCAGAAGCCACTGCCACCTCTTCAGCCTTGTCTCTGGTAATGGAGAGCACTTCATCTTGCCATCCCATCTTTATCCCTGTCTGAGAGCTCCCTTGTAGATGAAGTGTCACCATACTGCCGCACTTACTATGTGCATCCCAGAGCCACACCCTCATATGCCTTCTGGATCCAATCAACAGGAGGAGGAAGAAGATGGCAAAGGACAGATGGGAAGTGGGGGAAGTAGCAGGGATATGTGATGGAGTGCAGAGTGGCCAAAAGGCAGAGATGTAGAGGAAATAGGTGGGGTGGAATTGAACAGCTGCTTCAGTCATAAATATGAGTAGGCTGCCAATGCTTGAATTGGATCATGTGACACTTCAGTGGCCAGAATTTAAAGGACTGGGTGTAACTACCATTTGTAGCACCAGTATAACTTTAAATGGTCGTAAATTGGGGGTTATATATAATATAGAAATGATAATTGTTAAAACTGTCAAACCTTTCATAATTTGCTATTACTAGAAATACAATGCTTAGCAATCTTCAATATTAGCTTTATTGTTGTGATAGGTGAGCATACCTAACTTTACTTTGCATAGGACATAGAAGAGATTAAGGATGTATTTTCTCTGCATGAAGAAGGGTTTTTTTATTTATGTAGACAAAATGATTGTTCCCTGCATTTCTTATATGGAGAATATGTTCCATGCAGGATTAAAACAAAATTACTTCCCAAGGAGCTTGATGTCCTGTGAGCCAGAAACTGGGACTCAATAGTTCAGCAACATTTAGAAGTCCATGGGATAGGAGAAAAAAAATGCACCCCAGCTAATTGCCTCAGATTGAGGTGTTTTATATTTATATTTTGAGACCTTTGGTGCATAAGGAGGTCAATTTTTGGACTTCTCATATGAGTTAATATTGAAACATCTATAACATTTTAAAAGTACATCATTTAATTAGTTAAGCTTGCAAAACATACTTTGGATATTAGGAATCTTGCCATGAAATTCCCTGTGTGAAAATAGAATTCCATGGCTCATCAAATGTCTATACATTCAAGCTGTACTGTATAAGAATGTGATACCATAATTGTGTTTTTATATACCTTTATTGTTTATTGTTAAAAATTAACATTTGTCTCATCACTTCATTGTTTTTATTTTGCCTTATTGTTGAAGGAACAGTTATTTTGTAAAACAAATCTTGTGTAATTTTGGATGATTAGTATATTACTAACACTCGCTCCATCATACAGTAGGTATATTTTGATACGGAATATTTCAGACAGAAAATATTCATATAAGTTTGTAATGTAGGCATATTTTTCACGTAAAATAATCCTAATTCCTTCTTCTAGAGTTTGAAACAAAACTTCAGACAGGAATCCTTGGGACCTGACACAATGGAGACGGAAAGTGAGCAGAATTCAAATTCAGCCAGTGGCAGTTCAGGCTCTGGTGGAAGCACTCGCCCTCAGATATCGCAAATGACACTCTATGAGCGGCAGGCAGTGCAGGTGAGAGTTAATCTTTATTCTTTAGAAATGTAATTGTAGTATATATCAAGATTGTTTTAATTCTGAGGAGGTTACCCAAGGAAAAAATATGGCTCAAGAAAGTGGAATTCATCAGAAGATGGGCTTCAACTCCCTGCATGCTAGTATGACAGAACAAAGACTCAGATTAATATTTTGTTTTAGATTAAGCAGTACTTCCTTTTTTTCAGAGCAGTTCCTCATTTACCCCAGTAGTCTATGGTCTTCCCATCTGGTAACCTTTGCTTTGGGATAACGTAAATAAATATTAAATCACTTTATTTCCTTTTGTTCTTCTTAGATAAGAAATGGTGAATGTATGATGAGATAAGGCATTATTCTCAATGGCCAATGCTAGGTAATGGTAAGGCCCTCTGTCTTTTAAATCACTTCAGTATGCTCTTTCACCAGGACAGAGGTAATATGAGAGTAATGGAAGAAAAGACACTGAACTATAGGACTTTCATGTTGCTCCATGAGCAATAACAGTTTGCTCCAAAAGCTTCTGCCAAACAGCAGCTGGAAGATCAGCTTAGCATGTACTAAATATAGCATATAAGAATTGATTATTTCCTTGAAACAATAGACACCTTTTCCTTCATAAAGGAAGGGACAGTCTCGCTGTGAAGGACGAAGAATTCTGGTATTACCTCTCATTTTCTAAAAGATAGTAGTACTGCTTCTTACCTTAAGAGTCACTGTGATTTAGAGGTTAAGGCACCAGGCTAGAAATCAGTAGACTATGAGATTTAGTCACTCCTTGGGCATGAAAGCCAGCTAGGTTATTTTGACCACTCTCTTTCATCCCAACCTATCACACAAAGTTGTTATTGGAGGGAAAATAGGAAGAAAGAGTATTGGTATGTTTGTCACCATGAGTTACTTATAAAGTAATAATGATGGGATTTTTTTAAAAAATAGGCCCAGTAAATTTAAAGCAAACTTTAAACCAAAAGTTGCTTTGCGTTATATTGCATTATAATCATTATAGTCTACTGTGAGAAATGTTAGCTAGGGAGCTAAAAGAAAATTGGGGTGATTCCACACCTAGTCTCTGGATTGCTTATGGACTAACTGTTGAAAATGTTACAATTCTGGTCTAGTTGCATTCTCCATTGTAAATAAGATCTTGAAATTATTATCTTTTTTATAGCATATGTTTTTTTTCTCCATAAACATTTTTTTAAAAAAAGTTTTAGTGTTTTTTTTTTTAGACAAACATAGACAAACAGAACATAAAAACATCAAGCCATCTTCCACATATGTACATACAGTGTGTCGGTTGGTTTACAAATTGTTTTGTGCATCCACTTCATAGTCATCACTTACAATTACCTTGTATATATTCTCATATTGTCCATCAAATATTCCTAAATACATTAATATCATTCTTAATCAACCATTTGACTATACTATTATTCATTTTTTGCAAGACAATCCATATTTTACTTGATTTGTTTTATAACAATTCATATTATCATCCCAAATCTATCCTACAATCATTTTGTAGATTAATTTTAAAAAAAACATCTTTATATATTCATTATTTTCTAAAAATCTACATATTTCATTGCCATGTTTTATTGTCTAATCATTGATAGAATAGATCCCAAATTTTATAAAATTGTTTATCATCTTGTTTTCTGACTTCAAATGTCAATTTACTCATTTCAGCACGTTCCAATATTTTCTTAATAATTTCCTCCTGTGATGGTATTTTCTCATTTTTCCAGTGTTTGGCAAATACAATCCTAGTCGCTGTTAACACATTTACAATCAGATATTTCAATTCTTGTATTTCAGAATACTGTATATTTCAGGTAAAATTCCCAGTAAAAATATATCTGGTTTCAAGTCTATATGCTTTTTTGTCATTTTTTTCAACCATGTGTCGATTTTAGTCCAATATTTTTTGGCATCTGCACAAGTCCATCACATATGAGCCAGGTACCTGATGACATTTCCAACATTTTTCAGATTTGTTCTTGAACATTCTTGCTATTCTTGTTGGAGGAAAATGCCACCTGTAAAACATCTTATACAAATGCTCTTTATAAGCTATTGACATTGTCGTTTTATAATTTTGAGACCACAATTTTTGCCATCATTTTGCCACCATTGCTAAATCAATCCCATATCCAAAATTTCCCCCCAAAGCAATCATTGTTTCTTTAACTTGTTCTTCTTCTAATAAATTTCTAATAAATATCCATACAATTTTTTAATCACCTTTTCATCAGTACCTGTAAAAATCTTATCTAAATCAGTCAATTTATAATAGAAACCTTCTGTTTTAGAATCTTTATCATATCTAGAACATATTTGCGCATATGAAAACCAATTCATCTTTATACCTTGTTCCTCTAGTTTTTGCATAGATTTAAGTTCACCCTTTTCATTCAATATTTCACCATATCTGTTTGTTCCTTTTTGAATATTATAGGATAAGAAAATGCTTCAATAGTCGATAGCCAGACTGGAATTTTCAAATAACATTGCCTTTTAGTCTTCTCCCAATTTAACCAAAGAGCCTCCCGTATATAACATTTTCTAAAGTACCCCTGTGTTTTAGTTCCTTTGTACCATAGGAAGGCATGCCACCCCAACAACAGATCATGTCCTTCTAATGTCAACAATCTAGTATTTCTTAATGTTATCCATTCCTTAACCCACATCAGATTTGTAGCTTGGTATTAGGCAGACCAAATCCTCCTCTTATTCTAGCTTCTTGCAAGAGTTTTAATTTTATTCTCGTTTTCTTACCTTGCCGTATATATTTCAACACAATTTTATTTAAATCTTTAAAGTAATCTTTTCCAGGCCTGATTGGAATTGTTTGGAACAAATATAAAATTCTGGGTAATATATTCATCTTGATTGTTGATATTCTCCCTATTAATGACAATTGTAAGTTTTCCCATTTCACCAAATCTATCGCTATCTGTTGCTTGAGTTTAATATATTTATTCTCTTTAAGTGTGCTACATCTTGCTGTCAAATGTATCCCCAAGTACTTGATCTTATTTGTTACCTGAATTTTCAAAATATCCGCCAATTCTTCCTTTTGTCTTAATAACATATTCTTTGTCAAAATCTTTGTTTTATCTTTATTTATTTTCAAACCAGATACCTTTCCATACACCTCTATCTTTTCTATCAGTTTTAATGCTGTTTCTAATGGATCTTCTAAAATGAAAACTAGATCATCCACAAATGCTTGCAATTTAAATTCTTCCTTATTAATTTTCATCCCTTTTATATCCTTTTCTTCTCTAATATTTCTATTTAGCACTTCCAAAGTTAACACAAACAACAGAGGCGACAATGGGCAGCCTTGTCTTGTTCTTTTTCTTATGTCAATAGTATCCGTCAATTCTCCCTCTATCATTACCTTTGCCGTTTGCTTATAATATATAGCTTCTATTGCATGGATAATCTTTTTACCAAAGCCCATCTGCTCCATCTGTAATAACATAAATCGACAATTCACATTGTCAAAGGCCTTCTTTGCATCTAGAAATATCAACGCCATTTGTTTTTCAGGGTGTGCCTCATAATATTCCAAAGTGTCCAAGATTATTCTCATATTGTCTTTGATTTGTCTCTTTGGCAGAAATCCATTTTGATCAGGGTGAATAAAGTTATTTAAGTATTTTTTGAGTCTTTCTGCCAGTATTGAAGCAAAAGTTTTATAATCTGAGTTTAATAAGGAAATAGGTCTATAGTTCTTGATTTGTAGTGGGTTGGCATCCTCTTTTGGGACAAGTGTAATATAAGCTTCTGACCATGATTTGGGTGTCCTCTTCTTTGATATAACTTCATTCATAACTTCTAACAATGGAAGATTCAATGATTTTTGTAATGTCTTATAAAATTCTGCTGGAAGTCCATCTGGGCCTGGTGCCTTTCCATTATTTTGCTTCTTAAGTGCTTCAATTAACCCCATCATCGTTATGTTGCTTTCTAGCATTATTTCAATCTCTTTAGGTAGCTGGGGTAGATTAGCATTCTGTAAGTACTGTTTAACTCTTTCATCGTCAATATTCTCTAGTGTGTATAGTTTCCCATAATAGTCTCGTATAATTTTCTTCTTCTCTTTACTTCCATAGCAAGCTTTGCCTTGATCATCTATTAATTGCAGTATTTTCCTTGATTCTCTCCTTTCTCAGTTTATATGCTAACCATCTACCTGGTTTATTTGCATCTTCAAAATAGTTCTGCTTCGCCACTCTGATTTTCTGTGCTAATTCTTCTTTTTTCCATTAATTCCATTTTATGTTTAATTGTATCCATTTTTAACATAATGACCTTTTTCTGTGGCATTCTCTGTAACTCTTTTTCAAGTCCTTTATTTAGGCTAGTCTTTTTGTAATATTTCTTTTCCTTGTATAGTCTATTATCAAACCTCTGGTATATGCCTTCATTGTATCCCATACATTCTGCATTGATGTGTCTTATTTTTTATTTTCTTTAAAGAAAAAAACCAGTTCTTTCTCCATTCTCTGTGTAAAGTCTTTTTCTTTTAGTATAGTATTATTTAACGTCCATCTAGATCAATGGTTCCCAAACTTTTTCAGTCCACCGCCCCCTTGGTGCTACAAACTCATCCTTGGTGCCCCCCACCCAGGGGTGGGATTCAAATTTCTGTGGGCGTGGCCTAATTTGAGGGTGTGGCTTGCTGGTCACGTGACTGGCTGGCATGGCTGGCTGGCTGGGCATGGCTTGCTGGTCACATGACAGGGTAGGTGTGATTTGGTGGTCATGTGACTGGGTGGGCGTGGCCAGGTGACTGGCAAACCAAATACAAGTGGTCCTCACTTAATGGCTGGTTGTTTAGCAAGTGTTCTAATTTATGACTGGCTCCTCAGAGATACTTGACCCGTTTTTGGAGTTTTGACAGCCATGCACACACATACACACACACTCCCTTCTAACCCTGCTGGAGCAGGTCATTGCACTAGAATCAGAAGGCATCTCTGATT